TCAGGTGCGTCCCAGACTGCAAATATGACAGGTTCAAAAACAATGAGGGAGAGACTCATATCTCTGAATAATTGCGTCAGCCTGGCAAACAATAGCCTTTGAATTTTCTTTAAAGAAACACAATGTAAACCAGGTACACGCTGATCCTTTTTGCCCTGGAATTTAAATATGACATCTGTGTTGACTGCCTTTTTCTGCATCCATGAAGACTTTTAGTTTAAGGTGCTTCAGCCCCCCTGCTCTAACCCAATGCCCTTCCCCTCCTGAAGAGCCAGGCACCACAGCCTCCTGCTCTAACCCAATCCTCCACCTCTCCCCCAGAGCCAAGCACTCCCAGCCTCCCCCTAACTCAATCCCCTCCCCCAGAGCCAGGCACACCCAGTCCCCCCTCGCTCCTACCCAATCCTCCCCCCGCCCCAACCCAATGCCTGGGTCCCGGAGCCACTGCCGCTGCCACGTGCTTCTCTCTCCTGGCGCTGGGTCACGTGCACAGAGCTGTCGGCTATGAGTAGTCCGGGTGCACGGCTCAGAACTAGCAAGAGCTGCATTACTTTAAGCAAAGAGCCACGGACTGGCCTATCCTGAGCTACATGCTATCTAACATCCCTACTTCTTACCTGCTTTCCACTGGTTGCCAGGTAATCATGGCTGAATTATTTTGAATGCACAAGGAGATGTCAAAGCTGCCTTAATTCTTTTTTAAAGGGGGGGTTTCCCCTCTCATGTTCAGTATTTTAAATGAAATTATTGGCAGTTATTGCTCTGGCTATTGCTGTTGGTGACAATTTCACTATTAAACCTCTTACCCCTTAAAGCTGTAGACTGAAGATTTCTATTCTTCAACAACAAAGATAGTGGCAACATAATTTTCACCACTCTGCCACCATTTTGACTTGGAGATATCACCCTCCCTGGGAAAAATAATCATATGCTCATACAATCCTTTATCATTCATCAGCATCAAGTCAAAGTTCTATGTTGATACTGTAAAACATACAATATATCTCAGTGAAGTTGAACAGATTATAAATACTAGTGTGTGAGTTGATCTATTTTATATGGCTCTACCATCATAGTATCTGAGCACCTCACAATCTTTATTGTATTGATCCTCACAATATCCCTGAGAGATAAGGAAAAACTATTCATTTTACAGATGGGGAAATGAGGCACACTGAGATAGGAGATTAAAGTTCAATTCCCTGCTCTGTTACAGACTTCCCAAGTCCAAAGTGACTTCTCTAACCATCAGGCCAACAATGCTGGTGATGGAAACCACATTAAAGTAAAATATTAAGTTTCCCTTTTGTTTAATGTTGCGCAGTATAATAGACTAAATGTTTTTCTCTTTTCAATACTGAGCATAAACCTTTCTATGCAGGATTGCTTCTAAAATTCCCTTTTTTATGGATATGTTTCTCTTTCTTAAAATTTCTCTATAATGAAATAACGGAGTCCTGTGGCACCTTAAAGACTAAAATATTTATTTGGGCATGAGCTTTCATGAGCAAACACCCACTTTGTCAGATCCACTGGGGTGGAAATTATAAAGGCAGGCATAAATATACTAGCACATGAAAAGAAGGGAATTACCTTATCAAATGGAATCATCATAGAATCATAGAGCTGGAAGAGACCGCAGGATATCGTCAAGTCCAGCCCCCTGCCCAAGGCAGGACCAATCCCAACTAAATCAACCCAGCCAGAGCTTTGTCAAGCTGAGACTTAAAAACCTCTAGCAGTGGAGATTCCACCACCTCCCTTGGTAACCCATTACAGTGCTTCACAGTTTTTCCTAATATCCAACCTAGACCTCTCCCACTGTAACTTGAGACCACTGCTCCTTGTTCTGCCATCCATCACTACTGTGAACAGCCTTTCTCCAGCCTCTACGGAATCTCCCTTCAGGAAGTTGAAGGCTGCTATCAAATGCAGACTAAACAAACCCAAATCCCCCAGTCTATCCTCATAGGTTATGCACTCCAGCCCCCTTAATCATTTTGGTTGCCCTCCGCTGGACCCTCTCCAATGCATCCACATCCTTTCTATAGTGGGGGGCCCAGAACTGGACACGATACTCCAGATGTGGCCTCACCAGAGCCGAATAAAAGGGAATAATCACTTCTCTGGATCTGCTGGCAATGCTCCTCCTAATGCATCCTAATATGCCATTAGCCTTCTTGGCTACAAGGGCACACTGCTAACTCATATCCAGCTTCTCATCCACTATAATCCCCAGGTCCTTTTCTACAGAACTGCTACTTAGCCATTCAGTCCCCAGCCTGTAACAATGCTTGGGATTCTTCCATCCCAAGTGCAGGACTCTACACGTGTCCTTGTTGAACCTCATCAGATTTCTTTCGGCCCAATCCTCTAATCTGTCCAGGTCACTCTGGACTCTATACTTGTCCTCCAGCGTATCTACCTCTCCCCCTATCTTAGTGTCATCTGCGAACTTGCTGACGGTGCAATCCATCCCCTCATCCAGGTCAATAATAAAGATGTTGAACAAAACCAGTCCAAGAACAGATTCTTGGGGCACTCCGCTAGAAACCAGCTGCCAACCTGACATCGAGCCATTGATCACTACCCGTTGGGCCCAACAGTCTAACCAGATTTCTATCCATCTTACAGTGCATTTATCCAATCCATATTCCCTTAACTTGCTCGCAAGAATATTGTGAGAGACCGTATCAAAAGCTTTGCTAAAGTCAAGGTATATCACATGCACTGACCTTCCCATATCCACAGAGCCAGTTACCTCATCATAGAAGCTAATCAGATTGGTCAGGCACGACATGCCCTTTGTGAATCCATGTTGACTATTCCTGATCACTTTCTCCTCTTTCAAGTGCTTCAAAATGGATTCCTTGAAGATCCCCTCCATGATTTTTCCAGGGACTGAGGTAAGGCTGACTGATCTGTAGTTCCCTGGATCGTCCTTCTTCCCTTTTTTAAAGATGCGCACTACATTTGCCTTTTTCCAATCATCCGGGATCTCTCCCAATCTCCACGAGTTTTCAAAGATAACGGCCAAAGGCTCCGCAACAACATTTGCCAATTCCCTCAGTATTCTTGGATGTATTAAATCCGGGCCCATGGATTTGTGTATGTTTAGCTTTTCTAAACAGTTCCTAACTTGTTCTTTCCCCACCAAGGGCTGTCCACCTCACAGCTGTGAGGCTGTTAAAAGATTATAGATCCCAAGGTCAGAAGGCACGATTGTGATCTTCTAATCTGACCTCAGTAATAACAGACAATTACATCTGTTATGTCAGGTACATTTGATAATTTTAAGACACTTATTTCTCCAGACAGTTTGCCTAGAAAAGTTAATGCTACTGTTATATGATGTATTATATATTGTAGGATCAAGAGAGGGTGAGAAGGTGACATGTATTATATTAAATTTAAAAAAAAAGCAGCATTTCTACCCTTAGCTATAACCCTGCTTTAGCATAAAAGTTTTCCAGGAGAATTCTATCCAATATTAAGCAATATTTGAATGGATCCTGAGACAGTTTTTCACAGGTAAGCAGGGTAGAAATACCTAGAATAACAAGAGAAGGAAAATTTAAAGATTCCATGAGACTAACTAAATAAGTGAACAGATACTTTTTCTCTGAGTAGTTGAGTCTGAAGTGCGCTGGTGAATTAATGTAGTAAGACGTTTGTAAGTAGAGTTACATCCAAAGTTAAGTGATGTAGTCAAAAGATGACTACTACCTTTTGAAAAAAATATTCTCATAGGCCTTGGAAGACAAACCAATCCTCACCTACAGACAACCCCTAATCTGAAACAAATTCTTTCCAGCAACCACACATTACACCTCAAACACACTCACCCGGGAACCTACCCCTGCAATGAACTCCGTTGCCAACTCTGTGTCCCCACATCTATACAAGTGGCATCATCACAGAACCTACCCACACTAGCCACAACATCAAGAGGCTCGTATAACTGTACATCCTCTAATGTGATATATGCCATCAAGTGCCAGCAATGTCCCTTTGCCATGTATATTGGCCAAACTGGACAGTCTCTGCGACAAAGGATTAATGGACACAAACCAGATATTCAAAATGGTATCACACAGGAACTTATTGGTGAATGTTTTAACCTGCACAATGCTCATTAATGGATTTAAAAGTGGCGATTCTCTTGCAGAATAATTTCAGGAACCAACTAGAGAGACCAACTGTGGAAGTGGCCTTCATATTTAAATTTGACATATTTATTCAGGGACTGAACAAAGACATTTCCTGGATGGGCCGTTATAATCAACACCCAAATGACATCAGAAGTTAAGTATCGGATACTTACAGCCCACTCTATTAGTGTCATTTACCATGGACACTAATTGGCAGGTTTTTTTCTTTTCTCCTTCCCCTTTTCTCCTTTTTCTGGTTTGAATTTGTGTCTCTGTGCTTCTTGCTCCACTCGTTATCTGAAGAAGTGGGTTGTGCCCACAGAAGCTCATAACACAATCTATATTTTGTATTAGTCTCTAAGGTGCTACAGGACCACTTGTTTTTAAAGAAAAAATACCGGTTTGCTATGTTCCAAGAGAGGTTTTGGAAAACACTGAATCTGACTTTTTTTTATTAAATATGTATCATTCCAGAGCAACAAATGGAGAAGTACAAAGTTTTCTATTAACACCAAATCTTTGATCATGGCCAGACATGAGGTGTTTATATGGTCAGGAATACTTGTGTAGGAAAATCTGTGCAGTGCAAAACTATTTTACAATAAATATAAAGACATAGGTTCTGTAGCTGCAGTTAAACATGTGGCTAGTCCTGCTGACTAAATCCTAAAATCAGCAGGACTAGCTAGCTCCTGGATCTTAAGGACCTGGGCATGCTATCACACCAGGTTTACACCAAAGTAATTCCACACATCTTAACACACTTGCTCCAGACTTATGTAACTTTAAGTGAGATCAGAATCAAACCTTAAGATTTAATAAAGGTAAATGTATACAACTAAACTTTACCTCTAGCTGCTTAAGAGCAAAAGGACAGCCATCCTGCTTCAAATTTTGAATGATTTCTTCCATGGTGTTTGCTGAAAACAGACTAAAAAAAGAAGAAAGGCCTCATATGACTAAACATAATATCTTATTTCCCCTTCTTCTGTCTGTGAAATAATGAGAACTCAGACATTAAAAACTTAACGTAAATCACAAGACTGATTTACTACAACATCCTTTTTTCTCACCTTGAGAAATAAAATCTTGCTCTACTCATACCTATTCAGAATGCAGCTGCAAAGATCATTTTCTTAGTCCATTTTGACCATCTCACACTCTCTTTGGGCTCCCTCTCTTTAACATCAAATATAAATTACTTGTCTAATGTTTTCCTTTTCAAGGCCTTTTGTGATCTGTCCTCTCTTATTCAGTGCTGAAAGGACAGCTCCCATCTCCAATCACCCAGCTGTTAAATTTCCAAATAAATACCTTTGTGATTTCTTCTGTGCTCCCCTTCATATATGGGAGAAGTTACATGTATCCAAGGTATTATCCAAGGTCAACTAGGGATGTGAATGGGTAACTGCTACTTGGGAGCAGCCCCCCATCTGTAGCCCCCCACTGCCGCTTCCAGCCCTGTGCAAAGCTCCCCTCTCATCCTCCATTGCTTCCGACCCCACACGAGGCTGTTATCAGCCCGTGTAGGCTGAGAGATGTCAGCCCAGCACGGGGCCGGAAGCAGCTGGGCTAGAAGCAGCCTCTGCCCACAGTGCGGGGCTGCTTCAGCCTGCCCGCCCGTTTAATCACTTGACTGGTTCAACTTAACATTTAACCAGTTAATTAATTAAATGGAATCATACATCCTGAATGTAAAAACCCACAAAACTAGCCACAGTGCCACCTCAGAGTTACAAATACCTTGGGAATGGAGATCATAACGCTGAAATGTTTGTAACGCTGAACAAAATGTTATGGTTGTTCTTTCAAAAGCTCACCTCTGAATATGGACTTAATGCAGCTTTGAAATTTTACTATGCAGAAGAAAAATGCTACTTTTGACCATCTTCAATGAAACATTCAAAGAAAGTTTCCTTAACCTATCAAATCTTTTTCTAAAATTATTTTTTTAGTAGTTTTCGTGTTTAACACAGTATTGTTCTGTACAGTATTTGCTATTTTCGCATGTGCATGTGTGTATCTCTCTCTCTCTCGACTGACTGACTGACTGCATTGTCCCAGTTCCAAATGAGGTGTATGTTTGACTGGTCAGTTCATAACTCTGGTGTTTGTAACTCTTAGGCTCTCCCTCTTTGGGGATAGGTACTCTTCCGTGTTTGTGCAACATGGAGGTTATGGCTAGACTACAGCGTTTTTCCGAAAAAAGTGGCCTTTTTATGAAAAAAACTTCACCTGCGCCTAGACTGTTGTCATGTACTTTCGAAATTAAATAAAAAGAAAGTGGCAGTTTTTTCAACAGCGGTAAACCTCATTTTATGAGGAAGAACATCTTTTTTCGAAAGAGTTTTGAAAAAAGGCGTTCTTGACTGCAAACAAAACTTTTTCGAAAGAGAACATCCAGATTACCTGGGTGCTCTCTTTCAAAAAAGTGGATCGCTTTTTCAAAAAAAAGTAATGGCTGTCTAGACGATATCTTTTTCGAAAGAAGCTTTTTTTAAAAAGAGTCTTTCAAAAAAGCTTCTTTCGAAAGAAGCATATAATATAGACGTACCCCTAGTGTAATCAGACACTGGTAAACCCTGGTCTACAACTGGGGCTCCTAGATGATATGGCAGTTAGGGATGTTAAAAAGCATTTATTAAACATGTAACTGCTGAAATTTTCAGCATATGACATTTACATGGGGGGGTTGCTGGTGCCTGCAGGGAGCCGGCTTACTGCTCTTCCCACCCCTCGTGCTGCTGGCTCTGATACAGACTATTTCACATTCAAATAAGCCTCAGATAAGACACTAATATTCATTCTAAAAATTCTACTTTTTGTCTCGTCTATGTATTTGAAATGCAGCTGTCCCTATGACATCAATTTCATTCTGACTGCTGTTTATACCCATAAAATATCTGTAAAGAACAGTCTCATCTCAGTTATTCAAGCTAAATATATATTTAGTTATTTCAGCTTCTCATAAATCTGTCCTACTAGGTTTTTTTCTTAATATTCCGTCTTCCATTCATCAACTCTTTCTCGTATTGACCTGTCCCAAAGTGTCACAGATGTAGCTTCATCTCAACGCCCAAAGAATTACCTGTCCCTTACGCTCCAAAATTCTCAATTCCAATTTTCAAGTATCTTTCTTTTAATGTGTTATATAGCAGTTAGTTATGTACTATGCTAAGGTGACATATGCTAATAAACTAAGGGGTTTAACTGGTATAGCAACATTCATCAAAAGTTACTTTTATCAGTAAATCAGCCAAGAACACTTGTTATTATGTAGCAAACACAGATTAAGTAATAAGTCTACCAGATAAGAAGCTCTAAAAAACCCCGATAAACAGACTAGGCCTTTTTTATTACATAACCTGTTAAATCCAGTAAACATTAATATTAGTGTTTACCAGCAAATCTTCCACACAGAAGAGGCAAGACAGAAAAATGACTGAGTACCTGTTAATCTTGTCCATATGTTCATCAAGTACAAACTGTTTTTCTTCATCAATTTTGCACTATTTAAAAGAAAATACATCTTTTACTTGGTTCTGTCTCTGTTGGAAAACTTTCAAAGTCCATCACTGGCACTAAAATATTATATTGATTTGCGCTACGGAAAAGCCTATGCAGCTGCATCAGTTAATGCTGATTTACCATGCTTAATCAAACATTTTATAGTATGTACAAACTCTTCATTGTGTGTTGAACATTGTAAAGTTATTATTTCATGATGCAGTGTTAGTTCTGAGCTAGGGATATAACAGTGTAGTCGACTAAATGATTAATACTATCAACTACATGCAAACACATAACCCTCCCCCGGCAGCTCTGCAAGTAAATTTTTTTAGCGGGCTGGCCGACAAGCTGGCTCAGTCCTAGCTTGCATTGGGACCTGGCATCAACCCCTGCTGCGGCTCTGCACCAGTGTAATGCAGCGCCACAGCGAGGGCTGATGCCAGATACTGAGTCAGCTTGCCTGTACACCAGCTCTTAGGGACCCATATCTAAAGCCAAAAGTATGTACAGATTTTTTTTTAAATATGTCCATTTATAAGGAGGAAAATAAGAAGCTGTTAGTTGAAATGGGGTTTTCCTTAAGGAAATCTAGTACAATGGAATTTATTGGATTATCCCAATCAGTTTTATTTTTCAGTCTTATAAAGAATAAAACTTCTCTTTTGTACACATTTGGTTGTTTTGATTTATAGTATTAATGTCAGGATATCTCATGAACTTATAGGATAATGAGGTATGCTTGCATCAATAAACATATAGGTTAAACCTCTCTAGACCAACACATTCTGGTCTGGCAACAGCCGTGGTCCAGGATGATTTTAGTCCACTTTTTGCATTAATTGGTTCACATTAACTGCTGGTATTGACAGACTGCCAGATGTGATTCATTACAACTACAGCTCTTGACAAATGTTTTAGGCCTGCTTAGAGGACTCAGGATACAAACAGCTGTCTCACAGATGCTAGCTGAATCTCAAATAGATTCCTTCTTATTTCCAATGACTGCCAAGGTGCAGCTTTCATTCTATTAATTCTCAGTTTGCATTGTCCTTTATAGCAACATATTAGCTCTCATGTCTTATAGTTTCCATTTTCTCAAAGATATTTCAGTGGCAGTTAGCACCAGGGCTTCCCTCGTCCCTTCTTGAAAGAAGTACTGTGCAGCTTATTAGCCTTTTAATACATGCATGCAGCCTGTAACAAGGAAATCTATCCTATTCTAGTTGTTTGATATGAAATAAAATTTACCCCCAAAAAACTTGATAAACATTCAGAGAATTATGAACTTGCCCTTCGGAAAATAACCTAGCAATATTTAGCTATAGTAAGCATGCATTGCTTTAATGCTCCAAATGCATTTCACTAGACCATATCAAGAGTCTAATCCTGTTAATATACACAAGCTTGTAACATTGTCAAATTGGGCTGCAAAAGTTCACGGGTCATCATTAATCACAGAAGTTGGGTTCCAAATTTAGACTTTGCACATGACTTCTTGGTGTTTAGGCAGGAATAGCAGTTCCTGAATCATGTGGTGGAATGTCATAGCCACTGAATCCATGCAATTCCAGACTTCATGGCCACTTCCCCTATACCCAGTGCCACCCACAGTTCTAGTCTCATTCTGTCAGTGGCTGTCCCCAGATGCCAGTGCAAATCATGCTGAAAAGCAATGAATAGGTAATACCTAGCACTTAGAGAATTGCATGTTCAGCACCATTATGCAAGTAGACAAGAACCACCAAATAAAACCAATCAGTCTAACTTCATTATCCAAATGGAAAGAAATGCAAAAAGTAGTGAAAAGTAAATCAGATTTTTAAAATTCCTTCAATTTTAATCAGTTATTTAATGCTAATATATAAATTATTAACATCTTGCAATAGTGCATATTGGCTGGGAATCCATTTTGTAGATGCTATACCAACAAACAGCAAATGAGGATCATGTAAATAAGATTATTTCACTTAAAAGTTGCCCCTTTAATAAAGTTTGGGGTTGTAACTAGCTAATAGATACCTTCATATGATATGTGTTCAGTACATCTGCAACATTTTCTTTCGAAGGAGATTTTAGTGCTATCAAATCTTCCTCCAGAGCAGGCAGCTACCAAAAAAAAGGGGGGGGGGAATTAAAATAACGGGAATAAAATGTATTTCCAACTAGATTTTTGTTATTTTGACAGTACTGGATTAAAGTCTCCTGTGACCTGATTTAAATAGGTGACAAGCAGACAATGGGAGTAGAAGATGCGCAGCACTTCTGAAAACTATGCAGTCTGGATTTAAGTACTTTCAGGGACCAATACAGAAGGCCTCTTCCTAAGCACAACCTTTGTGTGGTGAATCACCGCCCATCATGAAAGACAATCAGCCCCAACCTGCTGCATCTGTGCAACTTTTCAGGACTGGGGATGAGCCCTTAAAAGGTCAGTTGGAGGGGGTACGGTCCTGAATCATGCAGATCTCGAGTTCTCAGCCCAGACCCCCAAGCTGTGTTAAAGAGAGGGTAAAGTACTACAATCCTGAGCCCACTGAGAAGTGAAGTGATGTTGTCGTTGTCTTAGTTCTAACTCTTTAGCTGCATAGGAGGATGGGGACAGAGACTTTTCTGTGGATCTTGAAAGCCACTTTCCCCTTTTCATGAGGAACAGGACCTCTTGCTTTGACAGTCTAAAAGCTATTTGTTTGGACTACAGCTTCTTCCCGACTTACGAACCGGTTACGGACCAAGCAATTCGTCGTAACTCAGTTCGTTTGCAAGCTGGACCCCATAGAGTTACACGCAACTTCGCTGTTTGTAAGCGCGGATCGAATTCATAACTCGGGGTTCACCATTTACGACAGCTTTGGTTATAACTCGGGGACCGGCTGTATTTTACAACCCCCCAAAAGAAGGTGCACTTGCCACATGTACAGCTGGAGGGCTATTCTTCAGACCATAGGATTGCTGTTGCTCAAGGAACAACATTATGAGGTAAGGGAGGTGCTCACCCACACCTCAGGGGGTGACCTTGAGGCATAACCTTTGATACGCTAAGAACTGTGGATGGAGCAGGCAGACAACAGCTCCCAGAGCTCGAGAGGATGCTAAGAGTCCTGATGCTGTGCTACATACCCTAGGCACCTACCTAGCTCTGCTAGTACAGATGAGAAGGCAGAGTCAAGGTCTTGCACCCTCCTGACCCATTTCAGAAAGGACTATGTTAGTAGCTGAGCTGGCCCTATGGAACCTCGTCCCCGAGTGCAAGGAGTGTCACTGTACAGAGGTGAAGAGAAAGAGAGAGTAGGGAAGGCTAGTTGTTTTCTCTTGCCGGCTTATTCATACATGCAAGGGGTGGGCACAATCTTATTCACTGATCTCACCAAACTAGTTGATGATTTAGATCTCTCCCCCAGACAACTGTGCACACACACACAGATATACACTGCACATCACTAGTTTCCATTGGCTTCTCTGAGATTGTTAATGTGGGAAGATAATCAGCTAAGTAAAATGTCTGTGATATCTAGATCTACATATGTTACTGGGAAAAAACTAAAGATAGCGAATTGACTGACTTCATTTCTTCCCTGTGTTTTTAACTGTTTAATAGCCCATCTCCTAACTACCATCACCTAGAATCATACTTGGTTCTCATGAGGGTTCGGGTGTGGGCTTGGAATACTTTTTATTGGTTGCCCATATGCAAGCAGTAGTAGATTCTTCTAATTAATGTATCTAGTAAATGGAAGTTTTCAAAACTGGTTACCACAACCCAATGATGAACATAATTAAATTACTTTCAGCAGCAAAATATCAATTTAATGTTTGTATATAAAAACAAGGGTCTGCTATGTGCTGAGCACCTAATTACCACTGACTTCACTGGGAACTGGCAGTGCTCAATGCCTCTTGTGAGGAATGTGTTTCTGGACCAAGATCTACCTGAGTTAGAGAAAGGTACAGGATAAGCATCTCTACTGATTTGCAACAGGGAATTATTGGATCAGGTACAGAAGATGAAACTAGACCCATAAGATATTCTGTACTGTCCTCTTGGTGCTATGTCCCGTATTATACCGCTAATATAAAGGGCCATGAAAATGTTGCTCACAAAATTTGCACATATGAATGAAGTCACTGAATTCGAGTGGTCAGTTGTGCACATAAATGACTCAGTTTAGTACTCACAGTTGCCTGGACACTTTGTTCCTAAGAGACGCTTTAAAAATGTGGCCCACTGTGACTAACATCTCAATGCCTGACAAACTCACTACCCAAACACTTTGCTGTTATAGTATTTATCCATGGGAAAAAAAAAGTCATGTGAGATCTTGACTCACAACTAGTGGTTATTTAAATCATTTTGGAATGTATATGTGGATTATATTTTATGTCTACATACTGAAAAATGTCCTTATAGTTTAAGGTGTTACTCCTCAGCAGAGCTGAGCAACTCTTTTTGCCAGACAAAGGGATGGTTTAAGTACTGTAAAGTCAACACCACGGAAGCCCAATTTACATATGACAAAACAGGAAAAATGGCTGATGGGAGGTGGGGGGAGTGAAACAAACAATGGTAGGGGAAAAAAACTTCAGGGGGAAGCCGAGTTAGTCTGTAACAGGAAAAACTTAAAAAACAACTAATAGTTTAGTAGCACCTTAAAGACTAACAAAACTATCATGAGCTTCCGTGGGCATAGCCCACTTCTTCAGATGACTGGAGAGTTGGAAGTCCAGATACAAGAATAAATAAAGGAAGGAGGGATGTGGGGAGGGAGAGGTGAGAGGGGAATGGAGGGGAGGAAGAAAGACAAGTGAGTAGATAAGCTTCAGAAGGATAGCCAAGTTAGTCTGTAACAGGAAAAATTTAAAAAACAACAAATAGTCTAGTAGCATCTCATAGACTAAATAGTTAAACATTCTTGATGTCCGTGCAGAATCTGCTGTTGGTCATCTTCCTTTCCAAGTGCAAACTAATGGTTCTTATCAGCCTTATTTAGTCTTTAAGGTGCTACTAGATTATTTGTTGTTTTTTTAAGTTTTTCCTGTTACAGACTAACTCGACTATCCTTATGAAGCTTATCTACTCACTGTGTCTTTTTTTCCTTTGCCCCACCCTACTTCCCTTATTTATTCTTGGATCTGGACTTCCAACACTTCTGTCATCTGAAGAAGTGGGCTGTGCCCACGAAAGCTCATGATACCATCTACAATGTTTTGTTAGTCTTTAAGGTGCTACCTGACTATTTGTTGTTTTTTAATGGTAAGGAAAGACACCTGGGAGCCAATGCCCCAGGAAGGGGACACAAGGGCCATCCTGTTTTGGAAGAAGAAAAGAATGAGTTTTGGGGAAACACAAGAACACAAAGACATTTTGTAATCCTCCACTGAAGCAGCAAAAACTCCAGAACTCTTTCTGGCTCCTGGACAGGTAGTGTGGGTAGGAGGTAGCTTTAGGTGACAGTGCATTAGAATTGCATTTAGACTCCAAGATGAGTGTACTTTTCTTTATTTGTCATTTCTTTTATCCTTGTGCAATCTCTTAAATGTTAATCTTTGTTAATAAACTTACATTTACTTTCACTATAAGCAGACTGTAGTACAGGTAAACTCTCTGGCACAGTTTAGCTGGTAATTATTGTGAGTATTCAGTGGCCGGGGTTGGATAATACAGAGAAATGCTTTTGAGGAGTTTGGTACAGTAAGCGTTAACCTGAAAGACAAAGTAGGGTCTAGTGGAGCCACTGGAAGATGCTTGAAGGGCTGGTTGTGCAAGGGAGCTGATATACAGCTACCACAAGCAAGAGTCCATCTCACTGGAGGTAGGAAGGTAAAATGGGGATTCATGGTCCTGTATACACCAAGAAAGTATAATAGCAATATTCCATCAATGGATGTTCTTGAGAGGCTAAATTTAATTACATAATTAAAAATAAGTTTAAGCTGTGATATTTGCTCAAAGAAGAAATACAGCTTCAAGTAAATCTAACACTGACCTATTATCAAAGGATATAGTGACAGATTTATTTACCTTTTCTGATTCTATAAAGTGTGTAGCAATTCCTGCTTTTTGCAAATCTCTTCCTTTCAATCTAAATCCTGTAAGAGCAAGGAAATAGCCAATCTTTCCTGAAAGTCTTGGTAAGAAGTAGCCTCCACCTACATCAGGAAAAAGGCCTGAAATTGGAAAGAAAAAAAAGAAAAGAAAAATGTGAAGGAAAGGTCGAAAAGGCCTGTACCAACCCTCTTTCACTTGGTCTGCCAGTCACCCATCTTCTCAGCCAAGTCTCTCCCTAAAATGCACTTCCTCCACAATGCCTTCAAAATCTAGTCCTTCCTTCTGGCAAGTATTCACAACAGATAAGGCAAACATCATTGCTCACTCCACTCCAAAGCTTTTCGAGAGAAGAATTATTTCTCTTTATACATCTATAAAACAGCTAGCAATGTTGTTGCCAAATAACCCACAACAGAATTAACACAAAGAAAAATATTTGTAAATTGTTGCAAATCTAAATTTAACATCCATAATGTATAGCTGGGATTATTTTTTCTAATGTGCATTATTTTGCACGTATCAACATTAAAATTCATTTGCCATTTTGTTACCCAATCACCTAGTTTTGTGAGATCCTTGTGAAGCTCTTCACAGTCTGCTTTGGTCTTAACGTTCTTGAGTAGTTTAGTATCATCTACAAATGCCACCTCACTGTTTACTCCTTTCTCCAGATAATTTATAAATATGTTGAATAGAATTGGTCCCAGTATGGACCCTTGGGGGACACTAGTTATCTCTCTCCATTCTGAGAACTGACCATTTATTCCTACCCTTTGTTTTCTGTCTTTTAACCAGTTATCAATCCATGAAAGGACCTTCCCTCTTATCCCATGACAATTTACTTTACTTAAGAGCCTTTGGTGAGGGACCTTGTCAAAGGCCTTCTAGAAATCTAAGTACACTATATCCACTGGATTCACCCTTGTCCACATGCTTGTTGCCCCCTCAAAGAACTCCAATAAATCAGTAAAGCATGATTTTCCTTTACAGAAACCATAGTGAAGTAGTACCCAATCATTACAGGATGACTCCAACCAAAACCAGTTGTTTATCACTGATCTACAGCCCAATGCCTGTATCCCTTCTTGATGTCGTAGCGAACACAGAAACGTTACGTCCAAAAGGAAGCTTCACAGAACTTGGTACCCTAAGCTGAGATGGATGCAGCTATAAATAACTGATTGAAAAAAGGGAAGAGCGCATTCAAGTGCCTTGCTTCTAACTCTAAAACTTAGTAACAACGTTACTGCATTTTCTAAACACTTGTCAAACGTTGTAACACCTCTGCACTGTAGGTAGATGTCAAAGACTTTATTTTAGAAATAGTAAAGCAGATGCAGACATGTTAAGTGAATTGTTCAAGCCAAAGATCAGAATTGGGATTAGAAATTGTGCTCAAACTATTTTGTTGCTCAAGAGGCAGATCGGAGTTTGTCATCTGTTTCCAGTTCCATACTTGGCAGATATGCTAATATCAGTTTCAGAAGTAAGAGGATGAAGCAAATTATCAGACATGTTACTGATGTGAACTAGAACCTTGTGGTAAAATTTTGTGGAGAAATGAGGAGTGAAATGTCTAGGAGTGAAAAATAAAATACATGAACAATAGAAAATAACTGAAAAGTGTAGGAAAATAAACACAACCTAACATACTTATCAGAATGGAGGGATTAACATGCTTTGAACTGTGGAAAGAGTTTAAATTACATTCTGATAGAAAGCTATAATTTTACCCCCAAATTACAAACTTTAGGACACAAAACAATTGCTGTAAACCTCAAAAACAGGCTATTTACACATTACACAGGTCATTCAGGAAAACTGCTATAACTCAGATCTAGAAAACTTAGTGCAGGATTAGTCATTTTGTCAGAATGATCTTCCTTCAGCCTCATCTCCCCAACAGAGCTACTTCTTCTTCCTTAACAGTATCTAGGAGAGCACTAGGCAACCAACATGTATGATTGGCCCTCTTTCATATCAATTGGCTGCAAGACCGAAATAGGGCATGTGCACTAGTCATGACCCCAAAAATAAGACTAAATGCACTGCACTTGATTATCCTTCTTTATCATGCCTTTTCAGCACAAAGTGATCCATTATTAGGAGCAAATTAAATTGCTGGTAAAAGTAACAAAGGAGCAGAGGGAGTGCATGGCTCTCAATGTTATGTGCCTCACATGTGCCCTTGCTTTAAATGTGTCACTTCTCATTTTGCCAGGGATTATCGACCCTTCCGTCCGCTGCAGGCCATGCCCCCACTCTGCCCCTTCCCACAACCCTCCACTCAGGCTCTTCGTTGCCTCCTCCTCCAAGCGTGCCCCATCCTCTCTCCTCCTTCCATCTAGCACTTTCATTTGACACAACAATCAGAAGTATTCTACATCAATATTTTACTTTCTGGCACTAACCAAATTCTCCTCACAACCCCAAAAAACAGTCTTACAACTACTGAATCCTATTCAACTCTTCATCTTCCTCTTTTCAACTCTGTCCTGGGAGTGGATGTCTACAACTCTAAGTGATTCTTAAAATTCACCCCTTCCATAATTTTTTCTTATTTTGGAGATGGATTCGCAGAGGCTTGTTGGAGGGGGTGGTCTTAGGCAAAGGGGCAATGGGACTCTGCAGGGGCTTCCAGGTGAAGGTGGTTGGGGCCCAGGGGAGAGGTTTGGGTACTAGAATCTCAAAGGGAAACTAAGGAGTGGGCTTGGTGGGGAGGAGTCTGGGTTCAGCTAGTTGCGAGTCAGTAGCATGAAGATCTGGCTATAAGGGCTCAGGGTGGTGCAGGGAGGTGGGGCTTGTCAGTGTGGGAGTTTGAGTACAATGGGGGTAGTCTGGGTTGAGGGGGTCTCCAGATGCAGGTTAAGTGGAGTAGGGTTTGGATGACCAAAAAAACCCAGGTTTAGGAGAACATAAAAATGCTCAAACCCTTTCTGGGGCACAGGACGCACTTCTCCACATGCTCCCACTGATCAGTAATGGGGAACCGTGGCCAGTAGAAGCAGGGCAAGGGTATTTGGATTTGAGGTACATCTTACATTTCACTTAAATTGAAAAAGTGATCTTGTGGTTAAAAAGGTTGGAGACCACTGCCATAGACCCTTAGCCCTTTCTAGGATCCCTTCATTAATAAGGGACTGGTTTTGTTCAACATCTTTATAAATGACCTGGATGAGGGGATGGATTGCACCGTCAGCAAGTTTGCAGATGACAGTAAGCTAGGGAGAGAGGTAGATACGCTGGAGGGCAGGGATAGGGTCCAGAGTGACCTGGACAGATTAGAGGATTGGGCCAAAAGAAATCTGACGAGGTTCAACAAGGACACGTGTAGAGTCCTGTACTTGGGATGGAAGAATCCCAAGCATTGTTACAGGCTGGGGACAGACTGCCTAAGTAGCAGTTCTGCAGAAAAGGACCTGGGGATTACAGTAGATGAGAAGCTGAATATGAGTCAACAGTGTGCCCTTGTAGCCAAGAAGGCTAATGGCTTATTAGGTTGCATTAGGAGGAGCATTACCAGCAGATCTAGAGAAGTGATTATTCCCCTTTATTCGGCTCTGGTGAGGCCACGTCTGGAGTATCGTGTCCAGTTCTGGGCCCCCCACTATAGAAATGATGTGGACGCACTGGAGAGGGTCCAACGGAGGGCGACCAAAATGATTAGGGGACTGGAGCGCATAACCTATGATGATAGACTGGGAGATTTGGGTTTGTTTAGTCTGCAGAAGAGAAGAGTGAGGGAGGATTTGATAGCAGCCTTCAACTTCCTGAAGGGAGATTCCGAAGAGGCTGGAGAAAGGCTGTTCACAGTAGTGATGGATGGCAGAACAAGGAGCAATGGACTCAAGTTACAGTGGGGGAGGTCTAGGTTGGATATTAGGAAAAACTATTTCACTAGGAGGGTGGTGAAGCACTGGAATGGGTTACTGAGGGAGGTTGTGGAATCTCCATCCCTAGAGGTTTTTAAGGCTCGGCTTGACAAAGCCCTGGTTGGATTGATTTAGTTGGGATTGGTCCTGCCTTCGGCAGGGGGTGGACTTGATGGCCTCCTGGGGTCTCTTCCAGCTCTATGATTCTATGAATGTAGCAGAGCAAGTCACTTGTAGAGCCATAAATACAACATGAGATTTTTAGGTTCTGTGCTCTAACCATTAGGAGATAATCTCAGCCCATTACATACTCATTTATACAATGCTTTACAAAGAGTGCCTATTTTGTTCTTGACCCCTATGGTAAATAAGGTTACAATTTTAGCACAAACTGTTAAGTAAACTTCACAGCAGAGGTGCAAGCAGGAGGGGGGAATTATAAGACACAGAAGGGTCATCAAAGGTAGCCCGCCCCATCAACATACACAAGAATATATGCAAAAAGTGAGGTTAATGCGGCAGGGGTTTGAAGAACAAGCTCACCTGGCAGCAGTGTCTTCTGTCCTACAGGTGTTGGCCCCAGTGCAGGCATTGTGACCTGGTGGACAGAGTTGCAGTGCCACTCAGGTTCTGCCCATCCATTTCCGTACATGGAGAAGCAGACGCACCAAATCTGAATACTGCTTCGACTTCAAGTGCCGCTGCAATGCCTCTCTGGAGGCCTAATCAAATGTTTTTCATAGCCATTTCCACGATTTCATGGACTTTACTCAAATTCACAATTTCTGTGACTTCATGGCAACATTGTAGCCCTATTGGATCAGCCTACTCTCTGAAGTGTAAGATCTGATTATTCCCTTTAATATAAGGGTACAGTCTTCGTCAGAGGTGGAAATGCAGCACACTAGCATTAATCCTGTGAAATCAAATTCAAGCAGTTCAAAGACAGTGAATTCTAAAAATTAATGTTGCCAGTACAAACTCAACATACTGCAATCTCAGTATAGATTATAGCAGCAGTTCTTAAACTTGGGTCCTTGAAGCACTTACTGGCAGTCAATGAAAAGCTGATTTGTGGTATGGTTCTTGCTCTCTCCTCATTTCCAACTAATCAATCTTATTAAAATAAAAGAGATAAAAACCACTGTAAATGTTCCCACTATTATTTATGCATGTAAGCATTTGCTGCAGTAGTTATATGGATGTCATAATTGTGAATGAAGCCTCTATAGTCCCATTTAGTCTCCACACTAAAAAGATTTCATAATGGAGTTTTATGGCCTACATTAGTAGTACAGAGAAATATATTAAGGTTTCCATTTAAAAAGGGACAGATGGATGAAACATTCCACACAAGTACAATGTGGTTCCACTGCCACAATTTAGACTCAAACAAAACTGTAAACCTTTTTGTTTGCTTGATTTCACAGTTTTAATGTTACATTAATAGTAGGCTTTCATTTTGTCTTGCACTTAATTTCCCAGGGAAAGGGAGAGAGGGACTGGTTGGGAAGGCTGGTTTAAAGCAGTGGTATTCAAAGCAGGACTGACATTAGACTTGCTGGGGCCCAGGACAGAAAGCCAGAACCCTAAGCCCCACCATCCAGGGATGAAGCAAAAGCCTGAGCAATCCAAGTTAGCTTCACGTGGCCTCCTGTGGCATGAGGTCCTGGGTAATTGCCCTGCTTGTTACCCCCCTAATGCTGGCCCTTGCTTTTACATGGAGAAAAACCAGTTGTGGCTCAGATGACCATAAGGATTTTATAGCATGTTGTGGAGGCCTTAAAGAAAGTTGAGGTCCCCTGGTTTCAAAGATTGCAATAAGGTAAAAAGAACTTTGGTCACTCCCTGAAGGTTTTTTAAGTTTGAACAAACATGGAAAAGCTCTCTCTCTAGAACAGTGCTCTCTTGAATTATTTGTAAAAGTGGATTATAGCACCATAACCATATAGGAGAGTCCTAAGCTCCCACTATAATACTTCAATCAAGATTTATTGCAGAACTTTTCTCCGGTAAGGGCACAATGGGATACCACATTAATAAATAGCTGTGCAATGTATTTTTTCCTTTTTTAGCAGATCCTATTTATGAAAGGAAAATACTAATAGACAGGGCTCACCAAGCCGCAGTGAGCCCCGCTCGCCAGCCGTGCAGTTCAGCATTCTGCGCATGCGCGGACCGCGCTGCACATGCGCTGCAGCACCGTGCCGGGCTATAATCTACTTGCCCGTGGCGAGCAGATTACCTAAATTGTCAAGCCCTGCTAATAGAACACATTATTTTATGAAAGACTGTACAAAGAAATGGGATGATGGGAAAATAAATGTAAAAGAAAGGTAACAATGGAAATTTCACATTATACTAGCACTTTCATTAAATGTTAATTAAATCCCCTGCTCAAATTAAACTTCACAAAGAGATGAGATCTGTGCACCCCTTTTTGGAAACAAGGCACTTAATTTGAGAGCATCCACTTCTCAAAAGAATAGATGAGTTTTGTATCTGGGAAAATACTGAAGACAATTCAAATTACTAAGTTATTTATTTATTTCTAAAATGACTAATTTAACAACTTGTCTTAATTATTATTTTGGCCATGCTTTATATGAAAGGTCCATTTCTGAACTGTTTACAAGATTATATAAGCGCACTGGTACATCTGTCTGTCCATGAGTCTGTTCATCCATCTGTGAGTCCATTTGTTCAAGAACTCCTCCTAAATGGTAAGAGCTGGAGCCACCAAATTCAATATACAGCTTCCTCTTATCCTAACTTAAAGCAAGGTCAGGGTTTGGTTGTGCCAGGGAAACAGGGTGTGCCTGGAATCCATAACACAGAAAGGGAGGTGGTTGTGAACAGGGACAGTTATGCTCTGCAATGAACACTGGGGGCAGCAAGCACAGGAAAGTTTTACTTCAGAGTGACCACGGGAGGCAGCCACACCAGGAACAAAGTGGACAGAGCTCTTCATGTTGCTAGCCACGGTAAGTGTTCCTCCTGGTCCCTAAATCCCTCCCCAGCTGTTGGTCCGAGCAGTTGATGAAAGGAACCCCACCATTCAGCAGCCCCAGCACCCATCCCAGGGAGCACCTCCAGGGACCACCAATGCAGCCTTCCCCAAGGAGCTGCAGGGGCTGGGGCTGCACAGGACTAAGTCCGCACAGCCTCCTCTCCCCCTCCCCCCCAAGGAGAAGGGGGGCTAGCAGCTCCAGTGCCATCCTCACCTCTATGGGTGGCTCCAGTGAACCCTCCCAGACCCCTGCCATGAGTCCTCCACCCCCTGCCCTGAATTCTGCACCCCCTTTGCCCTGCACCCCCCACGCCTCCCAGCCCGCTGCCCTGACTCCTGTACCCCAACCTCCTGCCCTGAGCCTCCCCAACCCCTACCCTGATTCCTGCACGCACGCACGCACACACACACGCGCACAGAGCCAGGTCCCCTCCCTGAAGGACCTATTAATCAGTTCATCCTTTAAAAATCTTAATATTAAAGTTCCCTTTATAATGTGTAACAACTTCATTATGAATTCTGCAAATTGTCCTGACTATAAGCCATTTTGCTTGTTATGCAGTAACTACCAGTGGGAAATGTGAACTCTAATTTCTCTCTTCCCTTTACCTTGCAAATTGAGTATCATTAACAACCTTCTGGAATCAATGGGGATTGAAGGCACCGTTTGCAGGACTGTACCCACATTACCTTATTTCCTTTAGGCCGAATCAGCTATTAGTTTTACAATAACTGTCTTCTTTAAAGATTATATTGTTCAAACTTGACTTGGTAGGAGTATGCACGTAAACACTCTCAAATTCCTTCCACCAACTTCTTGTTTTGACCATTACAAAACTGGTAGCATGTTATCCATATTACGGTTCTTAGTAGCCAATAGGGCACATGAAAATGGAATAAAATGCTTTTGTTTTTCCAAAAATTGACAGATTGTGTTGCAATTGAAATATTTACTTATCTTCACTGAATAAATACTTCGCAAAATGAGGTGGGACAAATTCAGACTTAATATGAATGAGTGCAGTTTAACTGATATTAATGGAATTATATCTGCTTGCACCAAGTTTGAATCTATCCCCAATGACACAGATTTAGGCAGTGCTGTGGGTTAAGTGGCCATTACACCTGTGTTTCTAGTTTTGGAACATAGACCATCATAACCTCTGACCATTTAGTTTAGTTAATTCTTATTTAACAGCAAGTGAGAATGAAAATGCACTGGCACATGGAGTTCTGTAGTATCTGCTTCTATAGCCAAAGCTATATGTCCCTCACTTCAATTACCAAAACTATTTTATTCCAATATTCTTTTATTTAAAACAAGAGAGAGAGTAGGTGTTGTATCACTATAATTAGTCCTTCTGTCCAGAGCTCCAAGTCTAACTATTTAATACAGTGGTTCCCAACTTTTTCGAGCATACAAACCCCTTTTCAATCTATTAAAATTTTACAGACACTCCTCCCCGCATTAATATAGCCGTTTTCAAACATTCCATTACTTGATAATTTGAAATGTATAATAGTTCATGTTATCTAAACAAATATAGCAATACTGAGATATTACAGGGTGTCCACATTGAAATGTAACAACTTTGAGGTGCCATATATTTTTATTGAACAACATTTTATTGGCTCCACCAATCCATTTTTCCTAGCAGCCCAACTAAACCTTTCCTGCCACTCTAATAGCTTTTGAACGGTTAGAGTGGGGTGGCATATTCACGTAATATGATCATTTCAAAAGAGAGGAAGAAATGGTAAAAAGTGACTGACTCGTTTAAAAGCCAACTCCAGAGTATAGTCATAGCTTGTCAGCTTCAACGTGGGCTGAGGGACGTGTAGACTGCAGAAACACAGAGCTTCTCAGCTCCCTTGGCTGCTGTTCACTGTTCAGTCAATGGGAGCTGAGAGGCTCTGTGCCTGCAAGCAAACTCAGACTCTGCTGGGACATTTGTTTGCTTGCAGAGTCCACACAACTTCCCAGGGTCACTTCCTAGCCCAGCAGGGTGAACCGCTGGCACACTTGGACTTTTTATCCTGGTGGAGTGTCTGCAGGCTTGGAGCCTGTCCTTGCCTTTCGCCGTTCTGTGTCAAGGGGAGCAGCGGGAAGTGTGGCCAGCATGTCCCTTGGCCTGCACTGCTTCCTCAACGCCCGCCCCCTCCATCCCTGCCCATCCATGGAGGATATGGCTCATGGCCAAGGCAGCTCCTGCCCTGGTACTCTGCCCTTGGTTGGGTATGGAGCCCTGGGGGAGGGGGGAAAAAAAAGAGAAAGGAAAGAAAAAGTAAGGATCGGGTTCACCACGGGACTGGGAGGGGGGAAACGGGCTGGAGAGTAAACAGCAGCGCAGCTGGCGGTGGGCGGACAGATGGTCATGGCAAACCCCAGGTGAGAATCATCTGGTGGAAAGTCCCAGCGCCGTGGTGGGCCTGATCCTTGTTTTTAAACTTTCCACAGACCACCCCCTACAGTACCGTCGTGGACCACAAGTTGGGAACCACTGATTTAATAGGAAGTACTTTTCATACACCTCTAATCCCTTTAAAAGTTTTTCACAGCCTTCACTACTTTCAATCAAATACACCGTCTTTCAATTGCATGAACAAACTTAATATAACTTGAAACACATTAAACATCCTATTCAATCTTTACCTATTGCTGTCTCTGGCATTGCAAAAAGTGTCTTCTCAGTAGCCACTCGAAAGTGTCCATGGACCGACAGACCAACACCCTACCAAGAAAAGTATTAATGCAGAAACTGTAATAAAATGTTTAAACAAAAACACACTGCTTCATTCAAAGTCTATTTCTTACCAAATAATGTCATAGAAACAGTTCAATTTGTATAAATACTATTTAACATTTAATCTTATACACAGACTTTCAACATAGTATCCCAAAATAGTTTAGACACAAACATTTGGCAAGTGTCATAAATTTGTAACTCAGATAAAGTTTTATTAGGTGGTTAAGATGAGGTAAAATGACACCCCCAGCTTTGTAGTGGAATCAACAAATAGAAGCTAGGAATCTAGACACTTGGGCTTGCCTAAATAACTTGGATCACATGTATGATCAGGGATGTAAATTTACCCCACACTAGCTTGCTGTGTACTAAGTGTCTGTGTGGATCCTTCAGATCACAATGAGGAATTTTTAGTGCCTGTAGATTTGTCCTCCTTTGAAAAAAGGAGCAAATTAAAGCTCACAGGGGAACTGAGTATGCAGTAGCAGGCTCTGCATGGGACAAGTAATGAGAGGCAGACTAGTAGGGCTAGATTCACAACCCTAGATTGAACTAGATGCTCAGCTTGCTGTGAGGTAAGTGTCCATTTAAACAAGCCCTCAGTCTCCCACTTTAAACAACTAAAATACAGTGGCTTTATGGGAAAATATTGTTAAAGCAATTACTTGCAAAGGAAAAATATGTTTACCTCATTTACGTATACGCGTGCATGTGTGTGTAAAAATCTTGGAAATCAGGTTCATACAGAACTGTCAATTCAAACTCAACTTTTCAGCATCGTGTGAAAGGATAAAAAAATGGAGTGTAGCATTTATAGAGCTTTCCTCCCTAGAGTTTTTAAAAGGAATTAAAACCATAACCAGAATTTTAAAGTAGTAATGACACATACACCTCCTTACAATTTTTAGATTTCACTTTCAGTACTTCTAATGTCAACACCACAAGCTTTTTAGATATCCTTCAAGTTTTCCCATCTAGAAAAACATGATTTTAAAGCCTTTTTTTAAAAGGAACAAACCCATTTTTTCTTTTCTTTTGCAGATCACTTTTAAATAATCCAACATTTAAAATAGAACAGAACAATCTTAAGAGCACTGAGTGAATAATTTTAGCATAAACTAAAGACTAAAATTGCTAAACTGACAACCAGCATGATTTTTGACCTCCCAAATGAATTATGACAATGCACTTGACAGGAGCTTATCCCTGAAGAAAGTTCTGAATCTTCTGCCTAACAGAAAACCAGCTCCATGCTTATTTAGGGAACATGCAATCCAAAATTGTGCTCCATCTCCACTCTTGAATGCAATTCATAGTACATACACTACAATTAAAAACTCATGGCTGCCTTGAGCTGCAGGGAAATTGAAATCAGTGTAGACCTCTGGGTTTAAGCTGCAGTCTGAGCTCTGAAATTCTCCCATTTTGCACGTGGATCTAGAAAGTCCTATATAGTTAAGAGTCCTGGCTATGTAGAAGGCTACTTCTCTCCCTCTACAGCAGGGGTGGGCAATAATTTTTGACTGGGGACCACTCCATGATTTTGGAAAGTGGTCAAGGGCTGCACTTCTTTATGGAGAAGGTGCAGGGTTTGGGACAGGTTGGGTGCAGAAGGGAGCTTGGGGTAGGGGTTTGGGGTCTGAGAGGCATTTAGGTGAATAAGGTGTTGTGACCTGGGGCAGGGATTAGGGGGCTGGGTCCAGAGGGAGTAGGGTACAGGAGTGAATTTTGACCTGGGGGAGGGATGTAGCAGGGGGTTCAGGGTCTGGGAGGGAATTGTGATCTGGGGCGGTGTGCAGAGGATTTGGGTGGTGACCTAGGGCAGAGGGGGTGGTGACCTGAGGCAGGGAGTTAGGAAGTGGGAGGGGCTAGGGTGAAAGAGGCAGGGGCTGAGGTGCTGGAGGCAGGCTATGGCCGGGATTCACTTACCTTTGGCGGCTCCTGGCCAGCAGTCAAACACGGTCCCTGGGGCAGGCTCCCTCCTGCAGGAGCCTCAGCCACACGGGTTCCCTCCATGTGCTTCTCAGGGCTGCACATGCCTGGGGGGCAAGAGACTTTGTACGTGCTTTCCCCATCCCCAGGCCAATCAAGTCCTGGGGGAAGGGAGAGTGCACAAAGTCTCTCACCGCTGACCAGGATCACGCAGCACCTAGTGGGAACTGCCAGCCATTTTTAACAGCTAGTGGCTCCCTCTACGCACTGTGCACCTTTGGAGGGGGAGGGAAAGGAGATTTTGCATGCTCCCCCACCCCCAGGCCAATCATCGCAGCTGGGATCAGAGGAGCATGCGAAGTCTCTCGCTTCCCGCCAGGGGCACGCGACATGTATATGGAACTGCTAGTTGTTCAACATGGCTTCTCAGAAACTTAGCCCACACACACACTCAGTCACTGTCACACACACCCAGTCTGTGCCACACTATGTATGCTACGCACACACACTCTATCATTTTTTTCCCTCTCTCTCTCCTCCTCCTCCTCATTCCAACTGAGACCCCACTGCTTCAGGGGGGCCCGGAGCCAACACATGACCACAAATATTATTGTCCACCTCTGAAGGGACCATCCGTGACAGGGGTTGGTCTAACCTGCTTTTAAAAATCTCCAATGATGGAGACTCCACAGGATCCCTAGGCAATTTATTTCAGTGCTTACATGCTCTAAGAGTTAGGAAGCTCTTCCTAATGCCCAGCCTAAACCTCCCTTGCTGCGAGTTAAGCCCATTACTATGTGTCCTATCATCAGAGGTCAATGAGAATATTTTTTTCCTCCTTCCTTCTTGTAACACCCCTTTTAAATACTTGAAAGCTACTATCATGTCCCCTGTCAATTTTCTCTTTTCCACATTTAAAAAACCCATTTCTCTCAGTCTTCTCTCATAGGTCATGTTTTCTAGACCTTTAATCATTTTTGATCTTCTCTGGACCCTCTCCAATTCGTCTACATCTTTTCTGAAATGTGGTGCCCAGAACTGGACACACTACTCCAACTGAGGTGCAAAGTAGAGTGCAAGAATTACTAATTATGTCTAACAACACTTCTGTTAATTATCAGAGGGGTAGCCGTGTTAGTCTGAATCTGCAAAAGCGACGAGGAGTCCTGTGGCACCTTATAGACTAACTGAAGTGTAGGAGCATAAGCTTTCGTGGGCAAAGACCCACTTCGTCAGATGCATCTGACAAAGCGGATCTTTGCCCATGAAAGCTTATGCTCCTACACTTCAGTTAGTCTATAAGGTGCCACAGGACTCCTCGTCACTTCTGTTAATGCATCCTAGAATCATGGTTTTCTTTTTCTTTTTTTTCTTTTTGTTTTTTGGCAAGTGTCACACTACTGGCTCATATTTAGCTTGTGGTCTACTATTACCCCTAGATTCCTTTTTGCAGTACTCCTTCCTAGGCAGTCATTTCCCACATTGTATGTGTGCAACTGAAATGTTCCTCCATAAGTGGAGTAACTTTGCATTTCTACTTTTTTGAATTTCATTCTATTTTACCTCCAACTATTTCTAAAGCTTGTCCAGATCATTTCGAAATATAATCCTATCCTCCAAAGCACTTACAACTCCTCCCAGATTGGTATCATCCACAAACTTTATAAGTGTACTCTCTATGCTATTATCTAAATTGCTCATAAATATATTGAACAGAGCTGGTCCCAAAACTGATCCCTGTGGAATCCCACGTTACGTCCTTCCAGCGTGATATAAACCATCGATAACCATTCCCAGAAAAAAGTTATCTAACCAGTTATGCATCCACCTTATGGTAGCCTCGCTTAGGTTGTATATTCCTAGTTTATCTATAAGAAGGTCATGCAAGATTGTATATAAAATATTTTAGTAAAGTATACCACATCCACCACATCCCCTTTATCCACAAAGCTTATCCTGTCAAAGAAAGCTATCAGATTTGTTTGACATGATTTGTTCTTTACAAATCTATGCTTATTGTTACTTATCACCTTATCTTCCAGATGTTTGCAAATGGATTCTTTTAATTGTTTACTCCATTATTTTTCCTGGACAGAGGTTAAGCTGACTGGCCTGTAGTTTTCTGGGTTTCCTTTATTTCCCCTTTTTTACATGGGCATATTTGCCCTTTTCCAATAAATCTCTCTCATCTTTTCAAAGATGATAGTTAATGGCACACACATCTCCTCTATCAGCTCCCTGAGTGTTCTATGATGCATTTGATCAGGCCCCGGTGACTTGAAGACATGTAACTTTTCTAAGTAATTTTTAATCTGTTCCTTTCCTAATGTTACCTCTTTCTCCAGAATTCACTATGCTAGAAGTCTGATCACCACCAACCTTCTTGGTGAAAATCATAATAAAGAAGTCATTAAGCACCTCTACCATTTGCACATTTTCTGTTATTATTTTTCTCTCTTCGTTGAGTAATGGTCCTACCCTGACCGTGGTCTTCCTATTGCTTCTAATGTATTTGTAGAATAGTTTCTTGTTACCCTTTATGTCCCTAGCAAGTTGGAGCATATTTTGTGTCTTCAACTTTCTAATTTAGCCCATTCATACTTGTGTTATTTGCTTATATTCATCCTTTGTGATTTGACCTCGTTTCCACTTTTTGTAGGATTCCTATTTGATTCTTGGATCATTCAAGATCTCCTGGTGAAGCCAGGGTAGTAGTCTCTTGCCATACTTATCTTTTCTTTTCAATGAAATAGTTGGCTCTCATGCCCTTACTAATGTCTCTTTTGAAAAACTGCCAACTATCTACAATTGTTTTTTCCTCTTAGCCTTGCTTCCTGTGGGATCTTACCTACCAACTCCATGAGTTTGCCAAAGACTTCTTGAAATCCACTGTCTTTATTTTGCTGTTCTCCCTCTTGCCATTCCTTACAATCATGAACACTATCATATCATGATCATTTTCACCCAAGCTGCCTTCTACTTTCAAAGTTCTCAACCAGTTCCTCCTTGTTTGTTAAAATCAAATCTAGAACAGCCTCCCCCCAGGTAACTTT